TACCTTGTGGTACATTATCTTAGAAGAAATGTTACTAAAATTGTTATACGTAACTGTTTATAACATTATTGTCTGTTGGTGAGTAATACATTAATTTCTTTGTATATCCTTAAATGTCTGTCATGTTTCATAAATATTGTAAAGGAACGTATTGTAAATCTGAATGAAATTTATGGTATGTACCACAGATAGAATAGCCACGGTGGTCTAGCGGTTAGAACGCTGGCCTTGTAATCCTGGGGTCTCGGGTTCGATTCCCGGCGGTGCCCGAATTTATAACTTGTGTTGGGCAAGGCCGTGGTCTAGCCAACACAGAGGTTTCCTCCGTGGCATCCCAACAATTACTCCATGCACACACAGAAGAAGGCAATGGCAAAACACTTCTGGATCATCTGCCAAGAACGTATATGAACAGGTCCCAGTCCGAGAAAAGGATGGAAGGATCCTGTTCATATGGACCTGTCGTCAGACAGAACACTAAATAAATAAATAAAATATATACCACAGATAGATAATCCATACTTGAGAAAATTCACAAAAATTTAATTTTTGAATTTCATGTTTTAATAGAATTGAAATTACGTCTGGACATCGGATCAGTTGGTCCCCAATTGTGTTTTCGTTAATTGCACTTAGTACAGATAACTCATATTAAATAACGTTCCCTTCCTAAGACGTATTGTTTGTTTGTTTATGAAGTGATGCACATAATGTCTAAAATTTGAAAATATCTGAGGCACAAATACATCTTTTCTCTGCTTCACATTATTCTCCTTCTACCTGTAGTTAAATTTTTGTCGATCTCTAACTCACCTTTTTTTCTCACTTACTGCTGGTAGCAGCCTCTCAGATCTTCTTAGATGATTGATCAGGTTTCCGCTAACAACGCCCCCTGTGCCTCCAGCTGTCGTTAAAATCGTGAAGAATTGGGATATGAGCCTCAGCTGGTCGATTTCTTTATGTAAGTTCCACGGAGAATAAAAGTCATGACTTCTCCCTTAACAGAGACGGGTTCATTTTTCCTTTGTTAGGACCAAGAATTTAACAATGACGAATGATTCACCTTGGCCAGGTCACTTTAATTGTAGGAATAGTGTTTACTGTATAACACAACACTGGCTTAGTATTATTATAATAACTATAATTAATTGTGGTGAGATTGTTGGATGGGGGGGGGGATTTAACAATATTGCTTTTCCACACGACCTGATGACCTCTAGACTAGGATTCGTCACAGATTTATACACATTATAACATGTCACTAACACGTTTTTGATTTTACGAGGGTATCACGTGTCCCATTACAGACCAGAATTTTTACACGCTCAGTAAAATTCTTCAGTCAACTACAAGAAAAGTTAAACTAACCAGCACCATGAAACATATTCTTGAAGACGTAAAATTCAGGTCAAAAAATCTCAAATCCCTAAAGATCTTAGTTGTAAAACAAGTGAATGCCACTTACACGAAAACTATAAAAGTACTGTCCAAATGGATGTAGTACAGTGACATTTATGAAACGAGATGGTTACTGGGTATAACAAAAGTAACAGGAAAGTATGTTAAAGTAACTGACAGTGAGTTTGTGAGGGCGGTTAACACAAACCAGTCGTCGCGTGACAAATTCTCCGTTCGTTAGCGTTTAAATATTTCTTCAGGATTACACGTCTTCTGTTTGAGATTTGAACTTGGGACCTTCCGTATACGTGGCAGGAGGCGAGGACGTTTGATATTATTTTGACGTAGATACGTCTATAAGGAAGGGTCTTTCGGCGAAAAAGTGTAACAAGTGTACCTAGGGAACGTCGTGTTTACTCGGCATTGTTGTTACCTATAAAACATTTCATTACATTACCTTACATTACATTACATTACTTTACATTCAGCTACCACAGACCCATCTTAAGCGTAACTAATTCAAGTTGATTAAGCAATGTCTTAATCAAACTTTACTCAATTGTAAAGCATGTATAAAGGAAATATTTAGAATAAAACCAATATATAAACTTCCTTTCCGTATAGACGTATTTACGTCAAATTCTCCGGAACCGTGGTTCCACTGTAACATTTTTGGAAGTGCAATGTATGTGTCATTGAACCTCATAATGCCCAGGGCATGATGGCTGTAAATGCCTTTAAATATGCACGTAGACCTAATTGCATTATGTTGTTACAGAATGTTTGTGAAACGTTAGAATGTTACTGTTTCCTCTTAAACAATAACAGAACATTAGTAGCATAAATATCGACTGAATAGTAAATTCAAAATTTTGAAACGCAAATATTTATATGTAAAATGATAATAAATCCTCCTAAAATCTGGCAAAGTAAAAATATTTGGGACCGATCGTAATATTAATGTTGCATTTGTGGAGAAATTAAAAGCAGATTAAATTCGTAACACAAGAGCTTTGACAAAACAAAAGACGGTACAGTAAGCCCCCTGAAAGAGGACCCCCCCCTTACGTGCATTTTGTGGCATTCTTTATTCTGAAACACACATCCAAAACCCGGCGTAGTAATTACCAAATTTTCTGTGGTGGAAGATACATAAGCTACTGAGGGCAAATGTAATATTGACTGTGTTTTGACAACAGCTTGTGTAGTTCCCCCCCCCCCCAAACTTTGTTTGCTTAGCGATGGTACAAAGGAAAGAACAACAAAGCAGTCACGCATGTGCAGATACAGTTCTTATTATACAGCTAAATTTGTGCCAGTTCATGCTTTGATCTCAAGCGCTGTCAGAATATTGTATAAAATTCCACTCTCGGAGTTGATCTCTTAATTCTGACGAATACAACGGCCAGTGCGTATAATTGATTTACCAGGGACACAGATTAAAAGCAATAATAACGTACATTGTAATATCAAACTTGATATAATTAATTATTCAAACAAATTTTCCCTGAATGATGTTGAATAAATACGTTTTTTTTTGTGTGTTGAGCTTAAATTGTTTGTAGCCTCCGAGAAAGTATTGCAAAGGAATTGTTTTTGTCCTTTATTTATTTGTTTACTGTTCTGAGCCGTGTAGAGAAGTAAGACCTATGAAAATTAATGATTATATGTTCATTTGTAATTTCCATATCTTAGCCCTTTGAACTCGAAAATCGTATAAATAATATTTAAAAATTCAGTCCGTACCGCAAAGAAAACACAACATTTCACCATTAAATAGATCAACTGGTTAACTCTTTGAAGCCGAAACTCGTCTAAATAATATTTAAAAATTCAGTCCGTACCGCAAAGAAAACACAACATTTCACCATTAAATAGATCAACTGGTTAACTCTTTGAAGCCGAAACTCGTCTAAATAATATTTAAAAATTCAGTCCGTACCGCAAAGAAAACACAACATTTCGCCATTACAGGGATCAACTGGTTAACGCTGTTTAAGGAAATAAACGCTGTTTACAGTGAAGATAATATAAGACCCATTCTGTTTGCAAAATGTAGAGTTACTGATTATAAATTTTTAATTATAAAAATACGTGATGTGTGCAATTACCATTGGACTCTAAAAGTTGTTTTAATTATTCTGAGCAATTTCATCACGACCTGATAATTGGTCCTCTTTGCCTGCATCTATACAGGTCGAGCTTTAAGAGTGTCCACAACTTTAACCAGAATCGGTGTTCTGGGAAAACGTAGGGTTGATATGAATGAATAACAGCTGTATAAGGCTTGGTGAGGGGTGGGGGCCGCGGGGGTGAAAGATGATGATTGAGAATGGTGGGTACATGAGAGAGCGAGCGAGCATCTGTGAAATGGAACAGAGCGAAGGGTGCAGGGGGTGGGAAGAGGTGTTGAATATACGTAAGGCAAAGCTTTTGATATGTAAATGTGCATGAGAGTTTGTGTAGGGTACGGTTCTGCTGATGATGTCATCCAAAGAGTCCGACCGTCTCTTCCCTCGGGGGTACAGCACAGCTTCCACCGTTCATAATGCAATAACACTGCGATGGCTAGCGGTGTCAGACAAAAGCTTGGAGTTCAAGCGTGTCCCCTTGTCGGCTGTCTCTCTTTCTATCATCTCTGCATGCGTTCTTTGCTCCAAGGCAAACAAAGAGAAAAATTGTGGAATAGAAATGTAGAGGCTGAATTCAGTTCTCGAGTACATTCGTGCGTGTGTGATTAATAAAAATGCGTTCTACTCCCGGCCCTGTTTTTTTTTTCGTGCTATGAAGTTCCTTGAAGATCTTTTATATTCCCTGTTGATCAGTGACGTTTGTCGGAAATATACGTTTCGTAGTTGGGAAGGAACTGTCGAGGTTTTGTTGTGGTTAAATGCTGTTACTGAGGTTATCATGGGCTGTTTTCCCAGGGATGTTTCAAATTAGGGGGCCGCTTGGTCGCTGGGACCGTGGGTTCGAATCCCACTCAAGCCATGGATGTTCTTCTGTGTTGTGCTGTCCTGTGTACAGGTAGAGGCCTTGCGACGGGCCGATCCCTCATCCAAGGAGTCCTACCAAAATGTCTATCGATCAAGCCAACGAAAAAGTTGGGACCCTCAGTACTCAGGAACTTGAAGAACGGTCGTTCCCAGTATCCCCAGTTTCAAATTATCACGTAATAAAGATTAGTCAGTCTATATTTTGAGACCTTGATATCACAGTGTAAATTTTTAAGTCTCAGTATAAGGAAAATTAGAAATGAGGTTGAATTTGGATGCAGATAATTACATGTCTTTATTTACTTTTATTTATTTTTGATTTGTTTAAAGACGCTGTCATTACCTGAGACTATTATTTATATTTATAAATAATGATCAATCAATAGTGAGCTTTAAAGGATAAGGACTAAGGCTTTGTTCCCAGTGGCTGGATAAATGTTGACTCATTTATGTCAAAATTTAAAATAATAAATGAAGAATTATAAATAAATGACGCAGCCGACTTACACTGATCTCGCAGGACGCGAGACTTCGGTGGCGCGTTATTTGGCGAACTCTGACGGAGACTAAATAAGCCAGTAATTACGGGATCTGCTTTGATTTCAGGTGTCTATGAGTTTGTGCCCCATGAAGACAGTTCGGGCCAACGACTGCAGATCAACGCCCAGAACTGTATACACTGCAAGACGTGTGACATCAAGGATCCCAGTCAGAATATCAATTGGGTAGTGCCAGAAGGCGGGGGAGGGCCTGCCTACAATGGCATGTGAATCTCAGTCAGAATGGCGGAAGTGTTGACCGATTGGAATTGTGGGTCTCTTTTACTGTCCCGTGCGTTGCCGTCAGATTAGGAATTTTTTGGGTAAGACAAACCCTTCATATTATAGTACAGTATTTATCAGCGTCATTTTATAATGAGAGCTGAATAATCTAATCTGTTGAACTGCGTTACCCTACGTAATTAAGGCCGATGAACCCATGCCATTTGCTTAAGAATACGACGTGAACAGAGAAACGCTGAGATTTGTTTTTTGTGAGTTTCTGATTAGAGGTTTGAATTTACTAAACGTTTGTCACGTGACCAAAAGAAACAAGGCACATACGAGATCTGCGCACTAACTACAATGGTCATGAGTTTTTCGTCTCTCAGTAGTAGCTTTGTTTGACAAGTTTAATTCTGTTCAATATAATGGATTGAGATTTTAATATTTTGCGACATATTACGTGCGTTGAGTCATTAAAATCAAGTTATCATCGTCGTTGGAATACGAAGAATGAACAAACTAATGTTATTAAAAAATTATGATTTATGAATTAATGAAAGTCGTATTGAAATATGACATGGCGGCAGGAACTGAGTACGTGTTCCAGTGGATTTACTTCAGAGGATATCAGGGGCAGTTAATTGCAATTTCTGTACGTAGGATTAGTCAAGAAATGACCGAGTTTTTTTT